TTTTTTTTTTTTTCGAGACAGGGTTTCTCTGTGGCTTTGGAGCCTGTTCTGGAACTAGGTCTGTAGACCAGGCTGGTCTCGAACTCACAGAGATCCACCTGCCTCTGTCTCCCGAGTGCTGGGATTAAAGGATTGCGCCACCACCGCCCAGCTCACATCACTTCATTTCTGTTGCTGCCCTCGGGATAAATATCTGTCTAGTCCATTGGCCCTTGCTTCTTTCCTCTCTATAGGTTCTCAGCACACATTCTCGTCAAGCAGGAAATGGTGCTCAAGCCAGTGAGGAAACCTACTGAGGGCCAGAGAAGCTGTTTGGGTTTATAGAGGAGAAGCAACTTCTAGCATATAGGCCAACCCCCCCCTCCCCCGCCGCCTTTTCTTGGTTTCTGTTCTACTCACAAAGCTTGGCCCCTTTGCCTGGGAGGAGGCATGATCTGGCTTAATCTTTTTTTTTTTTTTTTTTTCTGGCAGGCTGATTCTATTGTTTTCCATCGGGTGGTTCTTGTTGCCTCTTCAATTGCCTGCAATCACACAGCATGCCTGCAGGGGTCCTCAGAGCACCCCACTCTAGGCAGGTCTTCTTTAGCTAATGTTATCTTTTATTTAAACAGAAAACAGTAGCCTTCAATTTTGTTACATAACATACCAGTATCCTAGGGTGTACAGGATCTACTGTTAGGGAGTCGGGGACTTGTAGATACAAATATATTCACTAATACAATATTGCAGAAATGTAACAAATTTGATTTTCTAGTTTCTTTGTTTTTTTGTTTCTCAGGCAGGGTTTCTCTGTATAACATTCCTGGCTATCCTGGACAACTCATTTTTCAGACCAGGCTGGCTGGCCTTGAACTCACTGAGATCTGCCCACCTCTACCTCTCCACCGCCCAGCTGATTTTTCTGGTTCTTTATTTGAAACGAGAGTTGGAAGGGACTTCAGAAACCATCTTATTTCAGCCTCCTTATTTATTTTCACAGTAATAGGAATTGATTCTAGAACCTCAAGCATAGCAGGCAAGAGGCCTGTGAGCCCTGTCTCCAGCCCCTTATTTCAGGCTGTGGGAACTAAGGCCTAAGGACACAAAGTAATTTATCCAGGAGGTAGCCTGGGCTGGTAATCAAATCTGAAGAATTTAATATACGTCCTTAAAGCTTAAACCTTTCAAGTTTGTGATTAATTAGCTGAAGGCTTTTTGCACCCAGAATTTAGACTTCTCAAAGTAGTCAACTGTAAACAATGACAGTGTTCTAACACCGAAACTGATACCTACCAGCGACTATCAGACAGTTTTGGTTTTACTAACTTTGGGACTGCATTTATACCTAACCATGTGATGTCCATTAACTGAAGACAACTTGGTTGGTTGAATGTACATTAGAAACAGCTGGGTGGAGTTCCAGGTGACATTTTGAGTTACTTGGGGATCTATCCAAACACCATACTAGGTTTATGCAATAATTACTGCAGGGCATGAGACAGTAGTTACCTGGGCCTCCTGCAGCACCTCACAGCCAGAAATGTACTTTTTTTCACCTAACCTAAGCAGGCTAGGAACTGGCTACTCAATTGAGCATGACCTTGAACTTCTGATCCTTTGGCTCCACTTCCCAAGCACTTGCATGATAAGGCACGGACTACCCTGCCCAACTACCATGTATTTTCTTCTTATTTTTCTCCTTTCTAAAATGTCAATGAAAACATGTTTTTGCCCCCACGCCATGCAGAACCCCAGTGGAAGGGCTAGACCTGCTCTATCCTCTGTCTCTGGCAGGAATTCTTTATCAAATTGACCTGTTTTCCTGCTGGAAGACTCTGCCCCACTCCACCCACCTGGTACCTCCCTGGATTTCCCGACTGTCAGGAGTTTATTTTTTAACCTTCTCTTCCTTGAAAAGCACCACCCCACTGACCCAGAATGCTGACTCCTCCTCTTTGGTCAGTTTGACCATTCTTATTCTACTTTCTGGTTATGTTAAGCGACCTCATTAACTTCTGAAGACCCTGGAAAACCTATTGCTATAGGGCACCCCAATTCCTCTAAAGTCCTTCTGCGTGCTCTTCCATCCCCAGTACCGGGATTGAACGCAGGGCCTGGCACACACCAGACCGTCCTTTTCTGGTTTTATCTGGTCGGAATGACGAGCAGGGCAGAGAGAATTGTCTCTCTGCTTCTAAGCAGGGCATGGGTGGGCCTGCTGAGACTGCTCCTATCTTATTAAATCCCCTTGCCTTGAAGTCTGAGGACCACTTCTGGTAACTTAGGCTCTAGGTCGGGAATTAAAAGCGGAGGGAGGAAGTACTATCTAGGTTTTCCAAGAAGTACTGTAAATCCCAAGTCCCATCGTAGCCCCGGGTCCTGGGAATCGCAGTAAACCCAAACAGCCTCCTGTCTCAGAGAACTCACCCATCCCAATCCTCTCTCCTCCCGGCCCCGCCCGCTAGCTGCCGGACTGGCGGGACCAGGACCTCGCCACACTCCTCGCACGCGCGCCCCACCAGGGCGAGGGGCGGGTGGGGGTTGGGGGCGGGAGGCAGGGGAAGCAGGGGCGGAGTTCCGTCCTCCGCTGATTGGCTCCTCGCTGATGGGCTGCGGCCGTGCCGGACCAACCGGTGGCGTGTTGCTATGTGCTGAGCCGATGGGATAGGCGCGGGGGCGCGTCTGTCACCCGGCAAGCCCCCGGCCCGGACTCGGAGGGATGCGGAGCGGCAGTGGCGGCGGCGGTGGCGGAGACTGTGGCTTTAAGAGCGCACAGGGAGCGCCAGAGTCAGCCGTGCAGTCCTTCGTCGCCAAGCACTCCGGAGCAGCCGAGCCTGGCGCGGCGGGACCGTGCAGCCTGCAGCCAGGTAAAGGGATCGCTGGCCGGTTGCGCGTGGGCGTGGGGCGCTGTCCGCGCGGGTTCGAGCTGTTCGCCTTGGAGACGGTCGGGCTCCGGCACAGCACGCAGCCCAGCTCGGTTGGGGCGATGCTGGGGAGGTCCCTCGGGATCTCCCCAAGGGTTCTCGGGGCGCCAGGGGCGGGGAGCGGGCTGCCGCGGCCACGTGACCGGTTTGTTTACAAACACTGGCGCGCGCTCCGAGTTCGGGGCTTGGGGAAGACCGCGAGCTGACTGGCGAAGGTGGAGACCGGCAGGTCTGGGCGCTGCCGCTTCCCTTGTTTGGCTTGATTTCCCTCGCGGGTGGCACACGGTGACACGGGCTGTGTGGTCTGTGTCTCCACCGAGACACTTGGGTCTGGGGCACACGGCCCTCAAAAGTCCCCGGAGTGCTATGCCAGCCCCAGGCCGAGGGAACCGCAGCGAGTTCCTGCCTGGACGCTTCCCGGCACCTCCCCAGCGGCCTTGCCAAGGGGTGGGCGCGAACTCTGCTGCCAGACCCGCTGCGGGGGCCTCTGCGGAGGGTTCCTCCCCGGAGCTGGCTCCTGTCTCCCCCTGCTTCAAGTTTCACCTGCTTGCGTGCTGACTCCTTTCGGGTGATTTTCCTCAAAGAGTGGGGGCACACGACAATACTCGCGTCTTGTGACTGGCACTAAGGAGGGGGACCACGCCTGCTTCTTTGGACCCCTTGTGCAAACAACTGCCTGCCACCTCTTGACCTCACTTTTATCCACCGTTTTCGGAAGCTGAGTGAGCATCCCCCGGTTTACCCAACCTTCCACAGTCCGGCCTGGAAATGGCAAATTGGTCTGCTCAGGAGCTCTGCTGGGTGTTTGTTTTTTGACTCTTTGTTGATTTGTTATTGCCACGTTGGAGTGTCTTTGAGCTACCGAGTTGGAAAGGCTTAGGGCTAACAAGGGTCCTAGCTACTAGTCTTTTGTCCTGTCGTTCTAGCAAGATGGGCTCTGCCCAGAGCTTTGGACAAGACTAGGATTACTTTTCTGTATCCCATTTACAGAACATTAGAGACACAAGGGAATTACGGAAAATCTCAGGCTTGTAGCTCTGCGATAGTCTGGTTTGGGGGTTCAGAATCTGATCAATAAGATGGGGTTCACACTTTCCCACCTTTTTGCCACACACTGCCATATAGGCTTTACCTGAATCCAGCCAACTGTTTTTGCTTTTAATGCTGATAGTTTTACCTTCAAGGAAGTTTCATTCTTTTTAAATAATTTTTTTAAATTCTGTAGTTTACAAAATAATGACTTTATTATGCCATTTTCATACATACGTATCTTTGTGCCTGGTTCATACTCAGCTATGACAGTTCCCCCATTTTTGTCCTGCGCTGTGAAGTGAGTGGCAGTGAGTTCTTTACACTGCCCAGCATCGCGAGAGCTGGGTGAACTTCACTTTGACTTCTGCGATCTGCTCCCTACTTCATGACAGGGTCAAAATGGGATGGAGTGGGGGCCTGGGCTCATGCCCTGCCTCAGTTGGGCTCTGCCTTACCAGTTTAGAATTCAGTAACACCATTTCTTGGATCTTATCTCTCTGCTTGAATTAGGGTAGGGATGGAAAATAAACTGTTTTCCTAGCTAGCAATAGTGGTGTACGACTAAGCCCTGAACTCTTGGAGGTAGAGGCAGGGGGATTACTAAGGCTAGCCTGGTCTGTGTAAAGGGATTCCAGGCTAAACAGGGCTATGTAAGGAGATGCTCTTGCCTCAGAAAATAAACAAAAACCTTTTGGTTCTTTAGAACCACGATTTTCAAACTTTGGATCCACAGTAAGGAACATGTGCACTGGCCAGCTATTGAAAGAAGTTTTGGGAAGTGGTAACTATTACCCACAGTACCTGCAATATGCCGGGGTGTTTGTTTTCCCGCTTCATTAGAAAAAAATCAACTGGTGGTCATGACTCATTAATTTGATTTCCTAACCAAACGGGTCATGACCTCCAGTTTGAGAAACATTGGTTTAGGGCGGAGGTCCTCTAGCCTGAATGCACGAGGGCTAGAGTAGGGTTTGGAAATACAGTGTTAAAGAAATGCATATGTGTATCTGTGTAATTCCTATACGTTAAACATACATATGCATATGTATAGTGTTTTGATTACTCCTCTCATACTACAGCCCAGGCTGGCCTGGAACACCCTGAATAGCCCCAGCCTCAGCCTCCATAGTGTAGAGATTATAGGCGTTAGGCCCCACACACCTGTTTAGAGTTGCTAGCTCGGGGTGCCGCGTGGCTTGTTAGAGGACAATGCAGGTAGCTTATTAGAAACCCTGGTCTCCCTGGAGCTGATGGCAGTGCACAGGGAGAATGGATATGAAGTGCAAAGTCAGGAAGCTGTCCCACACTTGGTGCAAGCTTTCAGATCATTCAGCTCCTAGCTGTCGTCCTGTGAAAGGGGCCCTGGCATGGTGGCTACACCTTTGGTTCCACCACTCAGGGGGCAGAGGCAGTCAGATCTCTTGCTCTGCATCATAGCTTGTTCCAGAGCCGCTGGCACTACAGAGTGGGACCATGCTCAAAAGCTTAGGTAAACAGGTGCTCTGCTCCACTCCAGCTCCCGGGAAGCTGCTGCTCCTGGCTCTGTAGCACTGTGTGCTTCTGAGTGCGTGGGGGGTTGGAGATGTGAGCGGTGCTGACTCTGATGAGCTGCTGTGCTCTTCACAAATTGTGTGCGTTTTCGTTGTCATAATGATGTTAATGGTTTTGAGGCAGTCGGTGCCTGGGGGATTAACAACTGGCCAGCAGAAGAAAGGATTGATTTTGTTTTGTGTCTGGCTGGTATTCCAGACTGTGTAGCCTGAGGGAAAGGCAGGCTGTGACTTTATTTTGATTTGGGGGTTTGGGGGTGGGTGGGTGGGCGGAATCAGGGACTTGTCTATCATCAGATGTTAATAAGAGACTAAAGTTCCCACCTCTCTTGCCTAGTCAGCTGTCTCTTTGAATTGCATGGGCACAGTGTGTGCAGGTGGGTCTTCTTAGTCATTCGGTTCCTGATGCTTTTAAGCACAGATGTACAGAAACACGCCGGTGGAACTGTACAGTCAATTTCTCTTACTTTGTCCAAACAGGTTGGTGGAAGAGGTTTCTTTGAATTAAAGCTGCAGTTTAGCTTTACAAAGGACACTTAATTATCCAAATTCAGATTCTCCTCTGGTCCTTCTTGGCAACAAAGTGCCTTCCAGGAGAGCGTTCACTGGGAGATTGTTTAAATTAACTTTAATAACACTCCATTTGGCCTAGCTGCTCATAGTCAGCATATCCAGTTTTGAGCACAGAGAAAAAATGAAAGCAAGCGTGGCAAGGGCCAACAAGTCTTAGGAAAAGCAGAGGGGAGGATTGGAAAGGAGATCAGGCACAGTTCCCTTTGTAAACTATCTCAGCCTTTCTCCGGGTCTACAAACCAAACCACTGGGTCCTCTTGACAGGTACAAAGCATCATCTTGAATTCTAGCCCACAGTGATGGAGAGGCCACCAGTGCCCTCCTGCCTGCCTGCCTGACTGCCAAAGGTATTTTGTTAGGGCTGACAGGTTTTTGGTGATGTTCTCCATAACAAAAGGTGCTGTCTGCTTGGGTCTGTAAAAGATTGCATCTTCCTGAATTTCCCCGTGGGCTGGAGCAATTTCAGCAGGGTGCAGCTCTGTTCTTCGTGCACCCCCCCCTGTTGGCCCCACCTTATCACCTGCCTTTCTGCCCTCATTTCTGCTGCAATTACTTGGGCCTTTCTGAAACATGCTATGCTTGTATGCTTGCTGTGTGCCCAGGCTGGCTTTGCCCTCCTGGTCCTCAAGCCTCTACCACTGACTGCTGGGATTATAGGTGTGCGTCACCACACCCAGTGTAAGCCTCCCCCCCCCCCCCTTTCTGGGTTACAGCATTTTCTTTTCAAAGATTTATTTCACTTGTATGAGTGTTGTCTGTATGTATTTATGGTGTCAGGTTAGAAGAGAGTATCATAACTCCCCTGGATCTGGAGTTATGATGGTTATAAGCCACCATGTGGGTACTGAGAACCAAACCCGGGGCCTCTACAAGAACAAGAGACGTAATCTCTAACCTTGCTTGTTCTTGTTTGCCTTGGGTTTTTTGTTTGTTTTGTTTTGTTTTCGAGACAGGGTCTGTGGCTTTGGAGCCTCTCCTGGAACTAGCTCTAATAGAGGAGGCTGGCCTTGAACCACTGTACTGCCTGCCTCTGCCTCCCAAGTGCTGGGATTAAAGGAGGTGTGCAGCTTGTTTTTTCTCTTGTTCCTTTCCTTTTCCAGATGAAAACCTGCCCCTCCCTGACTGGTTACCAGCAGCTGCTTTTTGCCCAAAGGTTTTTTTAATCCCTTAACTTTGTTTTGACAGGGTCTCTCCTGTCTGAAGCTGGTCTTGAAATTTATGTCTGGCCTCTTTCTCCCTAATGGTGTAATTACAGGCCGAATTCTGCATCTTGCTGGTCTCCCAGTGTCATGCATGCTAAGCTACATCCCCAGCCTCCAACTTTATTATTTTTAAAATCCATTTACTTTCATGTGAAAATTTATTGTTTACTTGTTTATTGGAATGGAATATTGAGCATCAATTCCCTGCTGGCAATACTTGGCATTCAGCAGGTACTGGATAAATAAATACCTGTTGGTTAAAAGCGTAATGCCCAAAGAAGCCGGCCAAGCTTTAAGCTTTAATCTCTATAGAGCAGGAAGCCTTTTGAGGCAGGTTTTCTTTGTTGCCTTGCTTGGCCTCCAGCTCACAGAGATCCACCAGCCTCTGCTTCCCAAGTGCTGGGATTAAAGGTGTGCAACTATTTCTAAGGAGAATACGAGAATGAGGAATTTTTTTTTTTTGTCTCTTGGAATGAAGATAGTATTTTCTGATTTTCTTTCACACCTTGCATTTTCCACAATTTTTTTGTATTCCTTATTCCATTTATAGGTTGCCAGTCTCTGAAAGCTCCACGGTCGCTGTTAA